CATTCCACTATACGTACACGCATTCATATGTGAACTCATTCCACTATCGTACACGCATTCCTATATGAACTCGTTTCACTATACGTACACGCATTCCTATGTGAGCTCATTTCACTATACGTACACCTATGTGAACTCATTCCACTATACGTACACGAATTCCCATGTGAGCTCATTCCACTATCTGTACAGTCATTCCGCGTCCTTGGTGCTGAACCTCATTGTGAAGGTGAGAAATGAGTGACACATGACGCAGCTATCTATATGCACAATAGCTGGGTGCTCCATCATGTCTGGAATCTTCACTTTGCTTAAACAAACTCTCAGAACCCCATCATTATCTAGAAATTGGTTTAACTTACAAATGCTGCTATTTCCCTTTACCTTTGCTGATGTGTTCGTTTTATGAATTTCCTCAGCGAAGACTTCAGCTTGAATCAATTCTATGGTTATCTATCTTCTTCCTGTCCTTCTACCGTCCTTATTTTTCAACTTATGTGTGACTACGGTTGTAGTCCAACTCTAGTGATGAAGTAGTTGAAAATATTGTCACATGGGTTGGCTGATCGGGTAATTTCAGCACACTTTCCCACAAGTCTGAACCAATGTGAAGCTCATTTATGAAGGTTCTTCTATGCACAGAAGCCTGATTGTTTGGATCTTGTTGGCAATGTACACCAAGATAACTTGAGAATCTGTCTAGAAGGACTTTGAACATATTTGCAGAGACTAGTGCTGCTGTTAGCTATGAAGCTGGAATGATAATTAATTTGACTTTGACCTTCCATCAATTGAGGGATATTAACTACATTCCTGCACATCTCTCTGAGAATAAAAAGGGCAAGAAATACTAGTGAATCATGGATTCAACTATGGACAGGATATTCCGACGTGTACGCAATCGCTCTTTGTCTGTTTCTACACCCAACTGGATTCCTAAAGCTCTTTTTATTAATTTGTTACTTTGTTGATATTGCTGTTTTCTCACCATAAAAACCTTAAGTAGAAGTGATCATGTTCATGAACAAGAAACTATAGAAACATCTTCCATTTGTGACACATTATTATAGGTTATTTCTAAACCTGCACAGTACACCAAATAGTTGGGTAAGTCTGGTTAAGTCAGGATTATTATAGTTATTCAGTGAGATGTCAGTATGACGTGCAGAACAAACACTACTCTCCGCATACATCGTGGTGTGGCATGTATCAGATATTTTCTTTATCGCCCTGGCCAACAACCTCCACCACATCACTCTACTCTATATTATCGTCCATGAACTTCTTGTAGTCTGAGTAGAACTTGGGGTCAGTGGTAAATTTCTCTTGTTGGCGATTTATATGTATCACTGCTATTCACCTGTTATTAGGCATTGTTGGTCTTTCAAATTTAAAGGGAGCTGGCATACTGTTGTGACCATTTGTTCCTGGATACTGAACAGAATGTTCAGAAACAGAAGATCATCTTGAGAAATAGCTTTCTCTCCCTCGGCATTTTCTGAAAGGTTAGCCTCTTGGGCGTGTGCTAGGGACCTCCATCACTGTTACGCATACAAATTATCCATCAGGTAGTTTTAAATAATAATGTTTCTATTCACTACACATACATAGTACTTGGACATGATTCTACCTACTTAAAAAGAAGAAAAATGCAAATATTTAGTGTTTAATGACTCGAAATTATATACATTTGGATAATGATAAATGAAATTATTCTTGCAAAGTGTTGATCAGTTAGCATGCACTGATTGTTTCAAACAATAAGTGATTGGTAAGGAAAGGAATGCTTAGTACTACTACTAATCGAGTTATATTATGCACGTTATTTAAGAATATAAAATGCAACACTGATGTCTCATAGTTGCATCTGAAAAATAGAGTTATTTAATTTTTATTATTTAATATTCTATATTTCATCAACCTTTCACCTGATATTAAATACAATATAACTAATGATTGTACAACTAAGACAGGGTGTATATTCTATACCAAATAATGTGATAATAAATCGTACGACCTTGAACAGGGTGATCCAAATCGCGCATGAATCTGACTATTATTAAAATTGTTGACTAATATTATCAAGTAGTGGGATCTACCCAAAACAAAAAAAGGGAACAAATAAACCACGAATATGGGTCTCGTTTTATTAACTGGCAAACATTTTTACAGATAAACATTAAATCATCGATCATTGCAAATGCGTAACGCCCATTTATGAAAGAAACTTGAAAACTTATTAAATATATACTTCTAATTATTTACTCTACTTGATTAATGGGCCGACTATGAGTAGCGAATTTTCACCGATGACCTAACCTATAATTTACCTTTGAACCCGATAACTAAACACATGACCAATTTAGAACATATAGATCCGTAACTCACGATGTCCCATAGTTTTTTTAGTCGAGAAGTAGTGTTGGGAGTGTTGGCTACATGTGCAGGTATAACAGTTGGAGCGATACTTTATAAATCAGTCCATCGAAAAAGAGTTTACAAGTCTGTGGGCACGTTATCGAGAATTTTTGTACATCCCGTGAAATCGTGCCGTGGTTTACAGCTCCAGAATGCGTACTGCAGTAAAGTGGGACTGGTATGTGGCGTGCTCAAGGACAGGTAAGTGCGCAGGTCTGTGTTTCAGAGTAGGTCAAAAGTACATATGCAACGAACACAGAGGCGGCGGCACGAAATTTGGCATTGGGTGAGATCTGCTCACCAACCTTGCGCCGGGGGACATGCTCCCCCTTATCACCTTAAAAATTGAAATATAGACCCTCTGAAACGTTATTTCCTGCATTTTGAGGGACAAATTTCGCTGACACAAAGGGTTTCAGCTTGATTTTGGAAGGGCAACGCCGCCAATAGAACATAAGATATATTCACACACATATACATTTGCACTTAATTTATCTCTTGTGAAGCGGAGTTTGAATCAAAAATCTCCTTGGGAATATTTCTGATTGAGCAATTTATCGATATGCACACTCGTCTGAGGTGGTGGACTTTGATCATAATGTAAGGTTAATATTGCACCTGTTTATGTTCAGTAAGTGTAGTGCTGATAATAAATTACCGTGCTGCAATACACTATCAGGGGAAATTCTTTTTCCTCTCTGGGTTCTCCACACTTGCCAGGGGTGAATCTCGTCTCGTCTCTCTATCACGTCCCCTTGAGGTACGGGATCGGGAACGTCACTTAAACCTTACAGTCAAATAAGACACACACAACGAAATACGTTTCAACTCTCGTCTTAGTCGGTCAGTCGAGCACTATATAAGACACAGCGCCCTGGGGAAAAGTCCCCAAGACTATCGCAAGACTGACCCAAGACTCTCTGCTAGACTGCGTCAAGACTCTCCCCAAGACTCTCCAGGACTGCGTCTGTTCTCGTGTACTCGCCAAGACCAACTAAAACAACTTTATTCATTTTCAAAACCTTAACCAATTACAAAGCAGTAAAAAGACTCTAGGGCGTAACCTTCAATCATACAGCCAATCAAACTAAGTACTGAACACGTCATATCTTTTGATTAATCGTTCACTACATTAATAACTACGAATACTAAACGTCAGAAATAGTAGTCCGAATAGCGACGGTTATCTCGTAATTAGTTCCAAATCACTGAACCAAGTTCCGTCCAGAACCTCAAATGGCCTAAACGGTGCCAGATATAACACATCCATTCACTAGTAATCTAATTAAGTCGATTAACAGATACACAAAAACAAATTCATCACAACACCATTAAGTAAACCTATTTCAAGATAAATTTGAAAATTTGCAATATGAATACGGTGGTTCAAAAATGTATTAAGGGGTAACAGAAACTTCTAATCCTAATCTTACAGCGAATTAACTGGCTTTTCAGTTTCCCACTTTAAGAATTGGAAATATGTTTGTGTTATTCACACTGCAATCACAATGTGTGTATGGTTATAATGATTTACAAATAATAACCGTGTTTTATACAGGCATTGGATTATTCTGAATGAAGAGAATCAATTTCGGGGCATTAGCCACGAGCCAACCATGGCCTTAATATCACCGACCGCTTCCGAAGATGGCCGATATTTACTATTGGACGCCCCAAATATGTCGAGGCTTGAGGTGCCTATTGATACCAACACACTACCAGAACACGAAAGGAAAACTATTAGCTTCAGGTACTACATATCACATAGCTATACTGTTTGGCTATTAATTAAATCTATAGTCTTATATTTAATGGTCAATTTCCAAATGGCGAACTACGCAATCCACAACCGAATCATGTAAGTTGTTGCAATAGTCTACAATGCTTCGTCCAACAATGCGGGTGTTTACGTCACAGAGTCACAAATTATTACTGTAAAGGTTTGTAGGACACTCGTAAGAACATTCCCACATCGTGTTTTTAAGCAGGTCAAATATATGATTTCGAGAACCCTGATTTGTAAAACCAGACATCAGTCCGAAGATTACACAGACTACAAACAACATTCAACATTATTAAATAAGTAATAATTACTTCGTCAACGACAGGTTGTGGAGACAGAATGCTCAAGGTAAATACTGTGGGGCGAAAGCAGAGCAATGGTTGACGCAATATTTTGGGAAGCCGATGAAACTAGTACATGGTGACGATGATAATCTTATACGGCGCGAAATAGGGAAGGCTAGGCCTCCTATACAACTTGGAGAGGAGGGTGACTGCGTAAGTAAATTTTCCACAAAGATTGTCAATCTTGTTATTGTATTATTTTAAATGTTTTTTTTTTTTTTTTTTTTGGTGTGGTTTATTTTATTCAGTTGTTTCTGGTTTATTTTACTTTATTTAGTTATATTATTGTTGTTGTTGTTGTTGTTGTTTTTATTATTACATGGAAGAATTAATGTATCAATAGTTATAAACAAACACACCTTAACGATACTCGTTTTTTCTCACAGTTTTATTTAAGTTGTTAACAATGTATCAATAATTAAAGATTATGTTTTATACCATGTGCTGTAATTATTAATTAATTAATTAATGTGTCAAATTATAATCATTTTTTATGTGGGTTTGTGAAATTGTAACAGAGTGCCACGTTTCGTTCTGTAACAAGTGCAATAAAAAATGAAAACTAAAAATGTAAGCAATAATTTAATTAAATTAAGTTTTTCGAGATTGGGTTGTGTCAATGTGAATCCGACTGTGATGGCACAATATCGGCGGACTCAATTTCAAAACTAGGTTTTTGGACTTTATTTACTCCGAGATGTATTCGTACCCGAGTCAATAGCTATGTTATTTCCACGAACCCGGAAAACAACTACTCTGGCACAGGTAACCACGCAAATTGAAAAAAAGCGTAAGACGCAGGTTTCAAAGCTTCTCACGCGATGACAACCTTGTAGAGTTGAGTTAGTAATTATTTTGACACCATATCAAACTATATTTTTTATATTTTATAAATTCACTCTAATTGAAAATTGACGTTACGTAGATACAACCTTTATGTAGTCATGTGACTGTAAATACCTCCTTCACTGAAGATACAAATGAGTACTGTGGAGAAAGTGAAAGGGATACCACAATAATCTTTTCTTGATAATGTAGAATAAAACACGAAAAACATAACAGTCACAGCCATTTGGGTAAACTATTTTTTCTTTTTAAATTATATTGTTTTTTTTCATTTTCACCATAATTTCATTATTTCGTTTTCACATTTAAATAGTGAAATCTTTAGAATGCGTAAATTTGAAAAAAAAAACATATCCCTGTGACTGTTATGTTATATCAATTCTACAATCTCTGTGAAGAATGAAAAGATCTGTCTGCTGAGTAGTATTCATTTGATTCATCATTTTCATCAGAAATAAAACAAAGATATACAGTAATTTGCATATGAATAGAATAATGGTGTGAATGAGTGGCTACATTGATTATACAATTCTCTATTTTTATAATGTAGATGGTGTATCAAGAAGACGCCAGTTATATGCTGCACAGCCAGGCGTCTTTGGCAGACCTCAATAGCAAAATGCAAGAACCAATCACTGACAGAAATCTGAGACCCAACTTTGTTGTATCCGGAAGAGATGCGTATGATGAGGTAAGGTCTCAGGGCAACATTGTATTGTATTGATTATGATTGCCCGGGAAAGATGACATTAACCATGTTAAATTCCTGTCTATTGTAGGATAAATGGAAGTACGTGAAGATTGGCGAAGTCGTGTTGAGACGAGTGAAACTGGATGAACGGTAACCGTATTAATACGATAAACATAGCTGTGGGTCCATAGCTCGTTTTGTGTCGGTCCTTCGTCTTTGTGGTGGCTTTTCAGTCATTTCTGGTACATTTGGTGTCCTTGATTTTGTTAATTTTGGATATTGAAATGTTATCGACACAGAAGAGGTGTGGCTCCTTACAATGTTTTGAATAACATAAACGTGCAACGCCAAATGGCGTCGCAAATAATGTCGACAAAAGTACACCATTTCCTCATATCACGTGATCGAAACTGATACCAATCGATAGCATGTTTATTAAACACTCACCGACGCGAACATCGCGACAAAAATTCTTTTTCTGAAGTGGTTTTTCACGGGATTCAGGTCGCTAAACCGTACGTAACTCGTGTAACAGCCATTTTCTTGTTGTTGAACTCCCCACGCCAGGAAATCAGGTAGCCGGGTCCACTAACTTCCAAAGTGCTGTGGACCTCTTGGTATTTACTGTTGTTGTTCCTTACATCCTACATGCATAGAAAAACATGTATTGTACATTTCTCTTAAAAGACTGTGGACAGTATCTGAAGCAGGCATGTTCATTTTACGGGAATATCCATCGGGAATACCTATTCCAGTGACGTCATATTGTCCTCTTCGACCTGAAGAAAATCCCTGCCACCGGAGATATGTTTGATGTGAAACCCTGCATCGCGGAAAAAAGAACATCAAACTAATTGCTTCTGTCACGGTTTGACGAGAGTTAAATAAACATAACATCGACTGGCGATTGGTAATACGATCGATGGTGTGATTAATAATCTGTTTTTGTCGAATTTTATTTGCAATACCATTATTTGCGATACTTTTATTTGTTCCTACTCACTTATTAACATAGATAAATTTGAATAGTTGTTTTATGAATGTCGCGAACTATTATTGTGTCCCGTCAGTGTGTCTTCGCTTATCATGGGACACCGTGATGTAATGTTGCGACACCCAATGCTGCTTGTGATATCATGTCATAATGTTGCAACACTCCATGGTGCTTGTGACGTCAGGTTGTAATGTTGCGACACTCCATGATGCTTGTGACATCGTGTTGTAATGTTGCGACATTCCATTATGCTTGTGACATCGTGTCGTAATGTTACGACACTCCATGATGCTTGTGCCATCGTGTCGGAATGTTGCGACACTCCATGATGCTTGTGACATCGTGTCGTGATGATGCGACACTCCATAATACTTGTGATATCATGTTGTAATGTTGCGACACTCGATTATGCTTGTGACATTGTTTCGTAATGTTGCGACCATCGATGATGCTAATGACATCGTGCCGTAATGTTGCGACACTCCATGATGCATGTGACATCGTGCTGTAATGATGCGACACTCCATGATGCTTGTGACATTGTGTCGTAGTGTTGCGACACTCCATAATGCTTGTGACATTTTGTCGTAATGTTGCGACACTCCATAATGCTTGTGACATCGTGTTGCAATGTTGCGACGCACCATGATGCTTGTGATATCATGTCGTAATGTTGCGACACTCAATGAAGCTTGTGACATCGTGACATAATGATGCAACACTCTATGATGCAACACTCCATGATGCTTGTGGCATCATGTTGTAATGATGCGACACTCCATGGTGCTTGTAATATCATGTCGTAATGTTGCGACATTCAATGAAGCTTGTGACATCATGTCGTAATGTTGTGACACTCCATGATGCTTGTGACATCGTGTGGTAATGTTGCGACACTCCATGATGCTTGTGCCATCGTGTCGTAATGTTGCGACACTCCATGATGCTTGTGACATCGTGTCGTAATGTTGCGACACTCCATAATGCTTGTGACATTGTGTCGTGATGATGCGACACTCCATAATGCTTGTGACATCGTGTTGTAATGTTGCGACACACCATGATGCTTGTGATATCATGTCGTAATGTTGCGACACTCAATGAAGCTTGTGACATCGTGACATAATGATGCAACACTCTATGATGCAACACTCCATGATGCTTGTGACATCATGTTGTAATGATGCGACACTCCATGGTGCTTGTAATATCATGTCGTAATGTTGCGACATTCAATGAAGCTTGTAACATCATGTCGTAATGTTGTGACACTCCATGATGCTTGTGACATCGTGTGGTAATGTTGCGACACTCCATGATGCTTGTGACATCGTGTCGTAATGTTACAACACTCCATGGTGCTTGTGATATCATGTCATAATGTTGCGACACTCCATGGTGCTTGTGACATCGTGTAGTAATGTTACGACACTCCATGATGCTTGTGCCATCGTGTCGTAATGTTGCGACACTCCATGATGCTTGTGACATCGTGTCGTAATGTTGCGACACTCCATAATGCTTGTGACATTGTGTCGTGATGATGCGACACTCCATAATGCTTGTGATATCATGTCGTAATGTTGTGTCACTCGATTATGCTTGTGACATTGTGTCATAATGTTGCGACCCTCGATGATGCTTGTGACATTGTGTCGTAATGTTGCAACACTCCATGATGCTAATGACATCGTGCCGTAATGTTGCCACACTCCATGATGCCTGTGACATTGTGTCGTAAAGTTGCGACACTCCATGGTGCTTGTGACATTGTGTCGTAATGTTGCCACACTCCATGATGCTTGTGACATTGTGTCGTAATGTTGTGACACTCCATGATGCTTGTGACATCGTGCTGTAATGATGCGACACTCCATGATGCTAATGACATCGTGCCGTAATGTTGTGACACTCCATAATGTTTGTGACATTGTGTCGTGATGATGCGACACTCCATAATGCTTGTGATATCATGTCGTAATGTTGCATCACTCGATTATGCTTGTGACATTGTGTCGTAATGTTGCGACCCTCGATGATGCTAATGACATCGTGCCGTAATGTTGCGACACTCCATGATGCTTATGACATTGTGTTGTAATGTTGCAACACTCCATGATGCTTGTGACATCGTGCTGTAATGATGCGACACTCCATGATGCTTGTGACATTGTGTCGTAGTGTTGCGACACTCAATGATACTTGTGATATCATGTCGTAGTGTTGCGACACTCAATGATACTTGTGATATCATGTCGTAATGTTGCGTCAGTCGATTATGCTTGTGACATCGTGCCGTAATGTTGCGACACTCCATGATGCTTTTGACATTGTGTCGTAATGTTGCAACACTCCATGATGCTTGTGACATCGTGCTGTAATGAT